GTCTTGGCCAATGCGCTTTTGATGGCAACTTTGGCCATGTGGGAAGATGAATCCCCTCTTCCCGGCTGGATGCAAAAGATCCATTTAATTTGTTTCCCAAAGAGAGGAATTCCTGGATTTTCCTTGGACGCCAGCTGTTTGGTCTCTTGCAGCCTGACAGATCTGACGGTACCACTGTTGTAGTGAATGATGGGCTGACGACCGCGCCAGCGAATTTGCATGAGAAACCCGGAAAACTGAGAGATTGAATGGCCAATGAACATTTGCGCATCCATGCTCAAAAGAAAACTCACAGCTGGCCAAAACATCTTGTGATGCTTCAACCGTGGAGTCCATTCACGCAAAATCTCCTCAGCCAGCATGTCTCGAGAAACGAGAGTGTAAGCGTCGAACAAGTTGTCCACAAGAACGCGTGCTTTGCTTTCTTATCGCCACTGCTCCAACTCGTTTTTGGAAAGCGATGTTGCCAAATACAAGGGGATGGCTGGTGAAACACCTTCAGACAACAGCACGTTCCCAACTTCCAGAGTGTTGGTGATGCAATTGTCTCGGCCTCAGGAATGGGGCGCCACTGTGCTAAGTCAAGAAACACAATATGAATAAACACAATCTCGAAAGTAACAACACAACAAAAATATTCACCAAGCTTGGGGGTTCTGCAACTCAATTGTAGCCCGGGCCTGGGGTGCTCGAATGCGGAGTGCAAAGTTGCCCGTGTGCGTGGGCATACAAGTGCAACGCGTTGAAATGTAGCGCGCCTTTGTTCTTGTCTGAACGAAAACCCATTTGCTTAGACTTTTCGATCGCAGCAGCGGCATACAACGATAAACGTTCTACCATGCGTTGTTTGGTGCTTTGAAGGTCTTCTTGAAACTTGACGTTCCCCCAAACCTTCCAAAACAGGTCCCATTTGTCGCCTGGTTCTACAATTCGAATATTTGACAGAATTTCGCAACTGACACGCACGGTTGAAGGGGTTATTGACCACAAAACGTCGCGTAAAGATTCAATCTCTGCGACATGTTCAATTCGCCAAGATGTCCGACCCTTCACGAGGTCTTGTCTAACGTTGTCCAAAACCAAAACTGCTGGCATATGCTTCTGCGCACACCAATACCCGGGATGCGGTGAAGGTCGTCTTTGGCAAGCAGCACTTCGGAACAAAGACTCGGCAACTGCCAGAAAAGGTTCCAAGATCCATAAATCCCAGACATGGCCGGCGTTGGTGGGCAACACAACTTAAGCACCCAGCTCAGATCCAACTAGCACAGCCTTTACCACTTGCATCTGCTGTTCTGCAAACCCTGCACAGGTGTCAAACTCCATCAGCACTGGAGCAATCATCCCGGGCGATCTGCCCTTTCTCGAGGCATCACCACTTTGGTATTCAGCCAGGATTGTTTTTTTATACAGCAAAGGTGACCAAATGTTCAGCAAAACAAGGCATACAATCCCCAAAAACAATGCAATCGTCCGCGAAAATGCCGCCATCTAGATTTGAGTCAGAGTATCTGCGCAAGTGCCATATAAACGTTTTCCTTGGGGTAGCTAGGGATCATGTTAGTGTAATCAGGAAATATGTTCGGCCAACAAACATGGGAGTGATGAGCATGAAACCGGGGGGGGGGGGTCATCCATGTGTCCCGGACACAAATGCAGGTATAACATAAGCCTGCTTGTGGTGCCCGAAAACCTTCAACATCAATGGCAAGCGACCAGGAGGGTGGTGAGCAGGAAACAGGACACAAATGCAAGTATGAACGTACAGCCTGCTTGTGGTGCCCGAAAAGCTTCAAAATCACAATGTCAAGTGACATGAGGGTGGTGAGCAGGAAACATTTGGGGGGGCACCCACGCAAGTATGAACATACAGCTTGTTTGTGCCCAAAAACCTTCAACATCACAATGGCAAGCGACCATGAGGGTGGTGAGCAAGAAACATTTGGGGGTCGCCCGCGTCCCGGACACAAATGCAAGTATGAACATACAGCTTGCTCGTGCCCGAACACCTTCAACATCACAATGGCAAGCGACCATGAGGGTGGTGAGCAAGAAACACTTGGGGCTTGCCCGCGTCCTGGACACAAAGGCAAGTATGAACATACAGCTTGCTTGTGCCCGAACACCTTCAACATCACAATGGCAAGCGACCATGAGGGTGGTGAGCAGGAGACATTTGGGGGTTGCCCGCGTCCTGGACACAAATGCAAGTATGAACATACAACTTGCGGTTGCCCACGTCCTGGACACAAATGCAGGTATGAACATACAGCTTGCTTGTGCCCGAACACCTTCAACATCACAATGGCAAGCGACCATGAGGGTGGTGAGCAGGAGACATTTGGGGGTTGCCCGCGTCCTGGAGCCCGAACACCTTCAACATCACAAATTGGAGAGTCGCCCGCGCCCTGGACACAAATGCAAGTATGAACATACAGCTTGCTTGTGCCCGAACACCTTCAACATCACAATGGCAAGCAACCATGAGGGTGGTGAGCAGGAGACATTTGGGGGTTGCCCGCGTCCTGGACAGATATGCAATTATGAACAAGCACTGGTGCCACGCCACGGCTCTCGCAGTCCGTTTTCCTGCTGGCGCATGTTCTACAATTCACAAACTAGGGCAAGGCTTGTGCGATCCGTAGCTAAACCAACCCTTCCCCCCCACCTGCGCGCATTGCGTTTCTACTTGCGCTTTCTGATTGAATGTTTTACAATTCAGGAAGATGCCTCGCCCTTGCGAGTAAATGGTAACCTGGGCGTCCTTCCCCAGATCGCATGATGTCGTAGGCCGAGGCTTCTTGCCATTGTTGCAGCGTCATCCTGCAAAGTACATTGAGCAACTCAAGCAGTTTCATCAAGTATCAAGCAGCAAGCTAATGCAAGCAAGCGTCCTGTTGAATTTGAGCATTCTTGCGTGGGCCAATTCCACGACTTTCTCGGTCACATTTGGAAATAAGTCAAAATTTGCAGCATATCCATTCTGCTGAGCAAAATTTGCATCCGCACGGTATAAATGAAAGCCTGCCTGCATCTCTGCGAAGAGTTTGTTGATTGCGCTGCGCTGAGTCTCATCCGCGCAAAATCCGGACATTTCTAACGTTACGTGGTCCATCTCGAGAATACCTGCCTGCCACAGTTGCACCAAGTACTGGAGAATGTTGCAATCTGCTGAATCCGTATCTATTTTGATCATTGTGTAGCGGCCGAATGGCTTAAGCATTAGAATATCTCCAAGAGTATGAACTGGCCAAGACAAGGGCAATCCTTTTGCGAGAAAACTTCGTGTGACATTGAAAAGGGAAACTGCGACTGCTCCGCTCTCATCATAGTAATGGCTTCCATACCTGAAAAATTGAGCGCCTGCCGGCACAGCCAATTCCTTGAGGCCAGGCTGCACCATGAGCCATCCGCACAATTGCAAATGGCGACTGCCATGACCATGCCATAATGCGGTGGCATGCGACGCGCAGCACATGTCAAGTTGCGGCTCGACTGAAACAACATTTCCGCCTGCGTGGAGCATTAGGAGCGTAATGATGCCAAGGTTCGATCCGATATCCAGGGCATGGCATGGAGGATTCGTGTGGCAATGGCGGAAAGCCGCATTGATAACATCCTCCAACCAAGGAGCTTCAACTATGCCTTGCGAGCGTGTCGGCTCCTTCAAACAACCCAAGGGAAGCAAATTGCATTGACCTTTCTCAGTGGATGCAAATACTTGAAGCGGGCCGCGCGGGCCCAATGGTGCAACCCGCAGTTCGGGAACTGTAGAGAAATTCAACACTGCCAACTTTGAAGACGAGCATTGCCAAGCCTTCACATCAGGACCAGCAAGCACTCTGGAGACAAAAGTGGTCCAAACGTCTGGCTGCGATTGCGGCGGCAGCTGCAGCTGTGCGGGGCTTGCCCCAAGAACTGTGTTTTGCTGCAAACACCCAAGAGACGGCTGGAATATTGAAACACACGCAATGCTCGCAACAAAAACCAGAAGCGCCAGAGCAACTCCAATGCAGGGGCGCGGCATTGCCCTACTCAAGCTGCAGCAAACATGCGATCGAACAAACGTATACTGTTCATGTTTGCGCGCTGTCTCTTACAAAGACTCCAATTTTCGTTGGTGCGAGCCACGTGATGCAGAGTCAATGGCCACACAATCCGTTCATGCATGAGGGCAGCCGCACATGCCGCCTCGCAAGTCCATCAAGCAACTTCACCGCGTGCATTTTGTGTGTGTGTGTGTTGCAAGCAATCCAACACAAGCACGGTGTTCCCTTGGCGTGCAACTATATTCAATATCAATTGTATGTTGTTTCTAAAATAATAGTTATTGAAATTCAAAATTATATATAAGTTTGATAAATTGAAAAAAAAAAAGGGAAAAGAAAAAAAAAACGGTATCAATTTAAAAATACATTTAATAATAAAAACTCAAAAATATATAAATTATCGAACAACTCCAGCAAGTGGGACTCTTCATGTGTTGATGAGTTACAACACAGCAAATTGAACGGCTACATTGCATCACCACACAACAATGTGTGTGTTGCATTTCGGTCCGATTATGCCAAGGGGAGCCCTTCTGAAAATTACTGAAATTAGGATTGGCTTCAGTTAGAATATTTCAGTTGATCCTTGTCCCACCTTCAATCTGATTCTGGACTTGGAATTTCAAATTGAAGTCCGAACATAAGTAGCTCCTTTCGAAACGGGATGTTGATCCAAAATTAATCCGAGTATTGCTGGAATCTAACGGGGAAGGAATTCATTCCAGTTTCCGATATGAAGCAATTTCGAAATACAATTTCAACAAATCCGCCGTTCTCCAAAAGGGGAGGCGCACGGGAAGGGCGGCTGTGACTCTGACGATAGTTGTCATCATCACCATCATCACCATCAAGCATCGTTGTGATGATGATGATGATGATTCATGATGATTCATGATGATGATTAATGATAGCTATCATGATCATAATGATGACGATCATCATCGGCATCAGTCATCATCATACCCCATTCCTTTTCTTATCTTGTCTCATTCCCATTCTTAGTCATATGCAGCGATGACTGAGGATGCAGGGAATGCTCTTGTGAGAGTTATCATCGGCGCCGTTAAAGATGCAGGGGCCACTCTGATAATAGTTACCAGAGATGATCATCATCATCATCAGCAAGCATTGTTGTGACGCGAGGCGCCGTTGGGCTGCAAGGCGTGCTCTGATGATTGTTATCATCATCATCATCATGATACTGATTGATGATAGTCATCATGATCACAATGATGATGATCATCATCAACATGAATCATCATCATCTCTGTGTTACTTACTCCTTTCTTCTTCTTCTTATTCTTATTCTTATCTTAATGCTTATTCTTACACCTGTCTTGTCTTATTCTTAGATGCATTTCAACAGTGATGTTCGACATTGCTTGGGCTGTAGGGGACGCAGCGATGATAGTTCTCATGACACAGAGCCGTTGTGGGCGCAGGGAGTGCCATGATGATAGTAATCATCGGCGCCGGAAAGGATGATAGTTATCGTCGATCATCATGATGAAGGATTGTTGTGACGCGAGGCGCCGTTGGGGATGCAAGGGATGCTGTGATGATCGGTATCATCGTCATCATCATCATCATCATCATCATCATCAGAATGATGGTTGGTGATAATTATCATGATGGTGATGATCCTCACCATCAACATTCTTACTTACACGCTGACGCGACACAGCCGGCCACCGGTAACCCAGCCCACCCACCCACGCACCCAACCCCAACTCGTCTCTGTGATTTCTCGAAAAATCTGATTTATGGGTTTTTGCAAGGTGTCCGTTTGACTGTCTGTCTGTCTGTCTGCCGTTTGTCTGTCTGTCTTGAGCCTTTCTTCCAACAGGCACACTGGTGTCACAATGTTCGTTCTGCGTTCCAGCCATTCCAGCCATTTTCCATCCATTTTGTTATATGTATGGAAAGGATTGACGGCACTAGCTATGGTTACTTCACTGCGCACGCACTCCTTTCCTCATGTCGAAAACGCATCACCGGCATCACACCTGCGTAACGTGACTTTTAAATCGTATATAGACCACGAAGAGGATGTAATGTGACATTTAAATCCTATTGTCTGTTACCACCCCCAAACGCACATTTCTGCTTGCAAAACAGCATTTGTTCAGAAAACGTACGCGCATGGGAGATGGGGTCATACATCGATAAGTTGGTTGCCGCGTACTTGGCTTCTGCACCATGTCTGCCACTGCGAGAACTTGGGCTGCCTGATTTCGACCGCAACCACCAAACCAAAATCAATGCATTTGTTTCTCGTGCGTAAGATGACGGACTCGGTTGCGCCAGTGTAAATAAAGCATACAGGAGCGCAGCCTGCTTTGTAGATGGGAACCGTTGATTGCCAATCTCCCCACGCACCTTCTCTTCAGACAGAGTTCAAAGTAGGCCATTCTCTAGTTTAATTGTACTACGCTACGCACGCACTCCTTTCCAAGGAGCACGGCGGGTGCCAAGGAATGCAAATATACGAGCCCCCAGCATCATCAGCAAAGCCAACGATCTCACCAGGATTGGAACCACGCACCTCCCGCATACTCAGCAGGTGTGCTACCAGTACACCGAGAGCTCCTGGCAGTCGGCGCCTTGCATAGCGATTGACCGGCGTCGCAACTGCCTAACGTCGCATTTGAGTCGTACATAGAAAAACTAAACAAAGAATTTTCCCTCGAGCCATTGTAAGTTTAGAAGATCCTCATGATGAATATGCACCACAAACATCACAACTGCCGAACGTCACATTTGAATACTTTGTAATATATTACAGCCATTAAAAGGGCGCCTCCGTCACACCTGCGTAACGTGACTTTTTAATCGTATATAGACCACGAAGAGGATGTAATGTGACATTTAAATCCTATTGTCTGTTACCACCCCCAAACGCACATTTCTGTTTGCAAAACAGCATTTGTTCAGAAAACGTACGCGCATGGGAGATGGGGTCATATATCGATAAGTTGGTTGCCGTGTAATTGGCTTCTGCACCATGTCTGCCACTGCGAGAACTTGGGCTTCCTGATTTCGACCGCAACCACCACACCAAAATCAATGCATGTGTTTCTGATGTGTAAGATGACGGACGCGGTTGCGCCAGTGTAAATAAAGCATACAGGAGCGCGGCCTGAATTGTAGATGGGAACCGTTGATTGCCAATCTCCCCACGCACCTTCTCTTCAGACAGAGCTCAAAGTAGGCCATTCTCTAGTTTAATTTTACTACGCTACGCACGCACTCCTTTCCAAGGAGCACGGCGGGTGCCAAGGAATGCAAATATACGAGCCCCCAGCATCATCAGCAAAGCCAACGATCTCACCAGGATTGGAACCACGCACCTCCCGCATACTCAGCAGGTGTGCTACCACTACACCGAGAGCTCCTGGCAGTCGGCGCCTTGCATAGCGATTGACCGGCGTCGCAACTGCCTAACGTCGCATTTGAGTCGTACATAGAAAAACTAAGCAAAGAATTTTCCCTCGAGCCATTGTAAGTTTAGAAGATCCTCATGATGAATATGCACCACAAACATCACAACTGCCGAACGTCACATTTGAATACTTTGTAATATATTGCAGCCATTAAAAGGGCGCCTCCGTCACACCTGCGTAACGTGACTTTTAAATCGTATATAGACCACGAGGAGGATGTAATGTGACATTTAAATCCTATTGTCTGTTACCACCCCCAAACGCACATTTCTGTTTGCAAAAAAGCATTTGTTCAGAAAACGTACGCGCATGGGAGATGGGGTCATATATCGATAAGTTGGTTGCCGTGTAATTGGCTTCTGCACCATGTCTGCCACTGCGAGAACTTGGGCTGCCTGATTTCGACCGCAACCACCACACCAAAATCAATGCATTTGTTTCTGATGTGTAAGATGACGGACTCGGTTGCGCTAGTGTAAATAAAGCATACAGGAGCGCGGCCTGCTTTGTAGATGGGAACCGTTGATTGCCAATCTCCCCATGCACCTTCTCTTCAGACAGAGTTCAAAGTAGGCCATTCTCTAGTTTAATTTTACTACGCTACGCACGCACTCCTTTCCAAGGAGCACGGCGGGTGCCAAGGAATGCAAATATACGAGCCCCCAGCATCACCAGCAAAGCCAACGATCTCACCAGGATTGGAACCATGGCGCCTTGCATAGCGATTGACCTGCGTCGCAACTGCCTAACGTCGCATTTGAGTCGTACATAGAAAAACTAAACAAAGAATTTTCCCTCGAGCCATTGTAAGTTTAGAAGATCCTCATGATGAATATGCACCACCAGCATCACAACTGCCGAACGTCACATTTGAATACTTTGTAATATATTATAGTCATTCAAAGGATGTCAACGGCACGTCCGCCACACCTGCCTAACGTGACTTTTAAATCGTATATAGACCACGAAGAAGATGTAATGTGACATTTAAATCCTATTGTCTGTTACCACCCCCAAACGCACATTTCTGTTTGCAAAACAGCATTTGTTCAGAAAACGTACGCGCATGGGAGACGGGGTCATATATCATAAGTTGGTTGCCGTGTAATTGGCTTCTGCACCATGTCTGCCACTGCGAGAACTTGGGCTTCCTGATTTCGACCGCAACCACCAAACCAAAATCAATGCATTTGTTTCTCGTGCGTAAGATGACGGACTCGGTTGCGCCAGTGTAAATAAAGCATACAGGACCGCGGCCTGCTTTGTAGATGGGAACCGTTGATTGCCAATCTCCCCATGCACCTTCTCTTCAGACAGAGCTCAAAGTAGGCCATTCTCTAGTTTAATTGTACTACGCTACGCACGCACTCCTTTCCAAGGAGCACGGCGGGTGCCAAGGAATGCAAATTTACGAGCCCCCAGCATCATCAGCAAAGCCAACGATCTCACCAGGATTGGAACCACGCACCTCCCGCATACTCAGCAGATGTGCTACCATTAAACCAAGAGCTCCTGGCAGTCGGCGCCTTGCATAGCGATTGACCAGCGTCGCATCTGCCTAACGTCGCATTTGAGTCGTACATAGAAAAACTAAACAACGAATTTCCCTCGAGCC